TAAATATGCGATGAACAGTGTGATTTCTTGAGTATTTTCAAAGACGCTATGTGTAAATTGTGGTATTTTTGTATAAATATGTGATGAAATGAAAAAAAAAATGTCATGCCATTTTACATATTTTGCGCTTGTTTCTCACCACTGAGACCAAATAGTAGCTCATTGTCATAGAAAATATGTTTATTCTTCCCTCTCCACATTGTTTTCTCTTTCATTCTACTGAAGTGGTCAGACACAATATGCCATTACGAGACAATAGCTGAAAACCTTAGCTTACCATGAAACCATGAATAAGTATGGAAGCAGATTTCACACCAATTTTGTGAAAAATAAACAGATGTGTCCAGTATTTTGTATTGGTTTGATTTATTTCCTGTTGGTTAAACCTATGTTGGAGTGAATTAAAGAGATACAGTGTAACTTTTGCTGAACAGTTACGGGATCATGCTTTACTGTTTAGCTGTTTTTAAAGAACATAATTAAATTCTAAAGAATAATAATTCAAACATTTCACTTTATTGGCATGAATATCAATAGTATTGCCAAAGCTTACACATCAGCCATCATAAGCTACTAGTCATACCACCTTAATGTTTCAGCAGCAAAACCCCTTGGTATATTACAATGACAAGCAGTGTGTTTAATTGCTTGGGAATTCAACTTATCATTTGTGAGAGGAACAGGGATATTTCTTCTCTCAAACATTACTCCCACCCTGCAACTTTAAATAAGTTAAAAAGTCCAACGTTTGGGCTGACAAAATCTGTAAAGAATTCACTAGTGTTGGTAGTGCAACACAAAAAAAAACATAACTCTTTAATGATTCTCAGTGTGGTGCTTTTATTACCTTTTTCTTTGTGGCTTCCTTGTTAATAGAAATAATGTGATGGCCCCTGTGGTCTGTCTGGGCACACATGGCACAAATGCATGTTTGATCACTCCTACAGAACCTGTTTAACTGCTTTCCATGCAGTCTACATACAGAGTCGTCCAGGTTCTTCACCACACTGATCAAAAGATGGCGCCCAAGATCTTCATTCCGGTAATGCGGCTCCAGATGAGCAGCACAGTATGAGGCCAGGCACTCCAGGCAAGACTTGACAGCTCGATGCTTTGCTGCGCAGACATCACAGGCAACCTCTCCAGCTTTTAAAGGCACAGTTTCTTCCTCAGTTGGAGCACCAGCATGTGGTGTTTGGTCTGTTTTAAGATGTGGCCTGGTGGGGAAAATGGCCTTGCAGAGGGGGCACTGACAGGCCCTCTGGATCCTCCAGTATTCACCTATACAGCCCAGGCAGAAACAGTGTCCACAGGGGAGGAAAGCAGGGCTGGTGAACTCATCCAGGCAGATGCAGCACTTAGAAGGCTCTGACATTAGGTCAAAATTGCACACACATGCATGCAACCTGTGGTCGGATTTGGTGTGGTATCAGCATGCACAGATGATGTTCAGGTGTATTCCATTTGTTGTTAATTACAGTACTGTATCTGTACAGAAAACAAAGACTTGTATTAGCACACATATTTGGCTTTGGTGGCAGGAACCCAACCCAGATGGACAAGTGTGAGTACATTTTGTCTTAGTCTTTGTGGGGCTTGACACGCCATGCTGCTGTTACTGAATGCTGAATAATGCAGAGCCAAGCCACTTAAATTAGAATCTCAGCCTCAAAGGAAGGAGGCGATGTTAAAACTACAGCAAAACATTGAGAAAACTTTTTAATATGTACTGTATTAGACTATGACTATTTTAAAGAAGATTTATGTAGTCTGGGATAGCTATTGAAAAAACAAATTACAAAGCAATTCAGTTAAACTCAGAAGTCAGTAGGGCATTCACACGTATAGGTAATAATAATAATAATAATTGTATAGAGTACTTTTCAAAATTCATGTTACAAGCTGCTTCACAAAGGCAGCAACATAAAACACATGTCTCGAAATCAATAAAAACAGACCACATTACATGACAACAAGAAAAAACATTTGGAAGTAAAAGACAACTTAGATAACTAAAATCAGGAAATTCTCTCTAAAAGTATGTTTTAAAATGGGACTTAAAGGAGATCAGATCATACTGCATGTGGCAATGAGCGAGCTTCGTAAATGGTATGATTAAGAGCAAAGTTGATTGTGATTGTTATAAGGAGCTGTTACTTTTAGTTATAAGTGTTTTTCTTCTTCTTCTTTGTGTGTGTGTGTGTGTGTGTGTGTGTGTGTGTGTGTGTGTGTGTGTGTGTGTGTGTGTGTGTGTGTGTGTGTGTGTGTGTGTGTGTGTGTGTGTCACATTGTGAATCTAAGTCACATCAGCAGCACAGACTTTCCCACATTCAGGATCAGCTCTCACACCAGAAACTACTGGAGAGAAATGGAAGAACCACAAACAAGTGCCGAATCTGAAGAAGATATATCAGAGACAATCCCAGAGAAGGAAAACACCCCTGAGGTCACCATGGACCAACCTCAAACACCTACGGAGTCTGCTGATCCTCCTGCCTCTGGCAGTGAGTCTACGACCGAGGCAGAAAGTGAGAACCGGCTCCGGTTGTTTGTTACCCTGCTGACAGCGAGAGTGTTGATCAAGTGTCACGCACTGCAGAACCGCAGCCAGGAGGAATGGGTCGCCCACACAAAGAGACTGCTAAACCAGACAGTGGAGGGACTAGCTGGACGACCACCAAGAAGTTCTGCGGTAAGCGCCCGCTGGAGTCTGTTAGATTATTACAGGATCCAGTTGTGGATGCAGCCATTGTCCAGTCTTTGCAGGCCCACATCAAAGACTTATCTGCTCGGGTCACAGAGGAGGCTGCCCCTTCCGGTCCCTGGAGGGATGTGCTCCAGGTCGGGGTTTTTGTTGCAGGTTCACTGGCCGCCTTCTTTTTAATTGCACCCATTCACTGGCAAGGACAACGCCACAACAGTGTGTGATTTAGAGGTACATGCGAATATGGAATGCATGGATTATGGAGGATGGATTAATGCATGTAGAGGGGAAGGGTGATGGTGGAAGAAGGATGTCGTCTGATAGGCTGGTCTGAGAGGGTGTACAGGAGACTGGGCATGGAGACTCAGTGTGGGGGTTCCGTCTCGGAAGTGTTTTCGCCCGAGCTTATTTCAAGCCCCCCAGACGTTACCTAGATGAGACATGAGAGAGCTGTGCCCTGATTGAACAGGAAGAAATGAGGGGATGAAGGGAGCAGGGATGAGGGATGAAGGGATGGGGGGGTAAAAGGATGAGGGGAGCGGGGAAGAGAGGATGGAGGGAACAGAAGATGAGCGGATGTGTGTAGAGATGAATAGATGAAGGGAAAGGGAGGGTGGGTTGAGCGATCTGAAACAGATTGCTGTTGAAGGTGGATCGTTGTCTGTCTTGCATCGAGCGATCTGAAACCGTGTGCTGTTGAGCGTGGATTGTTGCCTGTCTTGCGTCGAGCAATCAGAATAAAGTGGGGCACGCTGAGAGGTATATGTAGCCTGACAGTTGATTGGAGGTGTGGTTGAGGCGTGGCCCCGCTCCCGAACCTAAGTTAACAAGTTAACTTAATTTCATAAAGCAGCACACCAGCAGCTGCAGGTGGAGGTTTGCAGCAATTTCTCCTGTCAGACATGTGTTGGGCTGCACAGTGTCTCAGTGGTTAACACTGTGACCCAACAGAATCAAGGTCAGGGTCACAGGGGTCCGACTCTTGTTTCTGTGTGGAGTTTCTCATTGCCTTGGCGTGGGTTTACTACGGGTACTCCTGTTTCCTCCCACACTCAATTTGGACAATAAACATGTCTAACTGTATTTCTGATGTCGGAGAAACTTCTTTTTACATTAAAGACAATGTGGATTGGCTGACACACACACACACACACACACACACACAGGAGGGAGGGAGGGTAGATTATATGGCTTATTGAGAACCAACACTGTCATTCTTTGTATTCACTTTTAACATGACCGTAGGCATATGTCCACTCACGTTGTTTAACTGTATATGCTTTTTACTACAATGTAGTATGTTTTTAACTTCTGTACATATTATTTTTTATTATTCTAGGGTTTATAACAACGTCAGGCAAAGGGACTGCAGATGAAAACTAGGCTTTCAGCTAACTCGTGTGTATTTTTTATGTATTGGATTGTTTAGACAATGTACATTGTCCCTTTTCAAATAAAAAACATTACATTTAAATAATTAAAATTATACAGAAGTCAATAAACAAAAAACGCAATATTCTTAAGTATTGAAGTATCGTTTGTCCATTGCTGGTAGGAAGATAATCTTTCATTGGAGACTCTCTGTTAGTACTGAACATTATTTTCCTGCTTCAGCAAGTAGAAGCCATATAAGACTGACATATGAAATGAATAACCTTCCTGCTATGAGTGTTACTCATAGACTGGAATCTGTTCAGAAGAGTGGTGAGGAAACTACGTCAGAGCCGTGTGTTATTTCCAAAATATTACACAGCCGCTGGCCCATCAGATTGAAGTATTTTCTGTTATCCTGGTAAAAGTTCCATTTAAGATGTTACATTAATTGCTACATTTGTCAGAATTACATACAGTAAAAACACATTTATGTTAGATTTATGTTTTGACATGTCAGTCTAAATATCCTGACTGGCTAAAAGTGAAACTGTCTCACTCATCTACTTTAATGACAAGCACACAGCATGTCCATTTGACATAAATCTACTTCTAAACCTTACTAATAAACACAAGAAAATTAAAATTGAAATATAAAACTCACATACCATTCTTGTGCTACTGCCAGCTTGTCTTTCCTGAGGCTCTAACAGTGTTGTGTTACTCCTTCTTCTGTTAAGGTAAAGACACACCTATCACTGCCCAGAAAGCAGTGGGTGGCTCTTTGGACTCTTTGTCATTTCCTGGATGCTCATAAACCCACAAACATTTGATAAAGCAGGTGGTGAATAACAACTGAACTGCAGCGCCAAAAAAGGGCAACAAACATTAATCTTTATTTTAATAATGCAAACACACATAATAATACCTTATTCCATCTTTATTCTAAAGAAGAAAATATGTTCATAGAAGGATAATAAAGAAAGAAAAGAAAAACAACTTCATGACTGCATTGCAAAATAATTTCTAAAACATTACAGTTGATTGTACTTTCACCTAATAAGTAATCATTTGTAGTCATTGTAATGAAAGTGTAAGCTGCGAGGATGCCAATTATTGATAATAATTCAGTAACCATAACTGTAACTATGTGCGACAGGTCTGTGCCTTGGCATTCTCCACACACTGAAGCGTGTGAATGGGGCAGTAGTAAGTACTCGACAAGAGTTAGCCTTTCCAAAACCAGTTGTGTTTTTCTGTTTTCAATAGCTAAGCTTCCACTGTCAACCAGCTTACAAGCTTGCTACCTACACTAGTATACATTAGTATTAGTGTTACTTCCAGGCTGAGGAGTACATCATTAACTAATTACATTAGTTTGCAGGGTCACAGGTGGCATTTCAATTAAATAAAAAATGCAAACCGTCATGTAATATTAGAGGTGGAAATCACAAATCGCTTTGCTCATTTGAATTACTTTGTTCAGTTCAATTCAAAGATTCATAGCCACTGACTACGTAGTTCATTAACTTTTTTCCCTTAGCTAAGCAGTAGGATCACCATTCAAACGCACTTCCGTACATACAACAGTAAGTGAAGTGAACACATTGCTGTTCATACCTCCACAACATTCTGACTGTCAATATTATACAAAAAGAAAGTAAAAAGAATGAAATCAACCTAAACTTAACTGACTATAACTAGCTTTATCAATTAATTTTCAAGCAGCAATCAAAATGCATCTAAATCCAACTCATTTAAATCACACATTTAAATTTAAAACTTAAAAATCTATATCTGAAAAAACATTTTATGTAAGCAGTTGTATAGTGGAACTTTAATATCATGAATAGAGAGACACTGGAAAAACGCACTCTTGTAAACGCTCATAAACTCTGTATACTTAAATGAATTTTAGAAAATTGTCAAATCTAGCCAGACAATCACTAAGTTGGCAAAATAGCATGCAACAATGGAAAAACTGACAGGCCTAGTAACAGTAATTAAAGCTGGGGTAGGTAACACTGGAGAACTAGCAAGAGATGGCTACATTTTGAGAGTATCCAACTGAAAAAATCCAACACCGCCTCCCTCCAAAGCCACTCCCCCAGAAAATATTTATTGCACAGTGAGTGCACAAAGGTAGAACAGGCAGGTGGGGCGGACAATCATTCATTCAGTGGATTTTACAGGGTTTAATCTTAGAGGACCTTCTTGGATGTTTGACCTTGCAACAAATTTATACTGTTGAGTTATTTTTAGCTTGTTGGAGGGAGGACCAGAGAGAAAAAACAGATACCTGATGTTCCATAGAGGTAATTATCAAAGGCTCCGATTTCTTGTATCTGCCGTACAGATAGAAGTACGGGAACAGTTTCTCTTTGAAAGACTCTCGTGTGAAAGAGTGAATGTGCAACTTCCTATCCACATCATAGAAAGAGACTCTGCCTTCCATATAGTCCACGTACACTCCTACTTTTCTTGGCCTGGGACAAAGGTGAAGGGCCGTGTCGCGTGTGCAATGAACTTGATAATCTAAACCCCTCTTTCCTATGGCGAAGAAGCCATTTTCTCTTTTCAGAGGGATCTTCCCTGTTCTGGGTACTGTTTCCTTGGCAACACCAACATCCCAGTCAGTTCTCAGGCCTACTTGAACTTCCCAGTAGTGACGCCCAGAGATAAAGCCCGTCGTCCCCAAGATCATGGGACAGTCAAACCTCTCCAAGTCATCAGACAATGAGGGGCTTGCAGTTCTGCAGTACTTCAACCGTTTCCCAAATTCGGACACCACAAGGCAGCAGCCAGCAGTAGCTGCGTTAAAGGTGACTGATGCTGAGGAAATAAAGTTTAGTTAAAGCTCTCATCTTTGGTAATATTGTGTGAATTTAATCAACAAGAAATGTAAACGTATTTATGATCTCACCTTTGTATTGTCTCATCCTAGTCAGTTCTGTCAAACACAACAGCACAGATATGGGAAACTCATAAAAATACAGACTTCTTCACTGATGAACCAAATGCAACAAATATTTACCCGTTTCTGTCAGAGTTTTCAGTTCGGATTGAAAAGTGTCCACAAGATGAGTCATGGCTCTCCTCACCGTCTGCAAACACAGGTCTGAGTAAACCCTGATCTTAGACCAGTTCTTGGTGGCTGATACATTACCCAGGGCCTGCAACGTCTGAAATGATTCACAAACACACGATCATGAGTGGTACTGGGCTATATTTAATCTTTTTTTTTTAAGTCAACCATCTGCAGCCAAGCAGACATTTCCCCTGTAGTCATGTGTCTAAAACACTGTCTCACTCAAATGAATAATTCAACATTTTGTGAAGAAAGCTTTCTTCATAACAGTTAAGTCACTGCACCCGGCCAAGAAATAGTCCAGCACATAACCAAAGTGTTGTTCTTTTCAGTTTGGTTTCTGGACAGACAAGATATAACGTGAGCTTTAGATGTACTGGTAGGCCGATTCTGTTACCATTGGACAGAGCCTGGCTGGCTGTTATCCCTTTGTTTGTCAGTCTTAAATATAAATAAATATAATAAAGCAAATAAGCGTATTTCCCAAAAATATCATTCTGCATCAAATCAGGTTTTTGTTTGAATATTAGATGGACATTTTCAACCCCTAAAATAAAGTGTTAGGTGGGAAGCCATTTTTAGGGTTTAAAGAGAAACATTATTCCCCTCCAAAATCAACAGGCTACTACTTCCAGAAGGAAGAAAACAATTTTAATAGTGTAAAACTGGATTCAGACATTCAGTGCTACTTATATGAGCCAGAATTACACTTTCTGGCTCATATAAGTAGTGCCGAAGGTTTGATTAGTTTTTGTCAACAAAACTACTTGGAAAATTAACTGCATTTTTCTTATTTTATATATCTTCTGCCCTCATATTCCTCAAATTGATTGGGCCCCCCATCACTTACTACTTCAAATTTAAAAATACAGCGTGATTCGCTTTGATCTATCCTTGTATCTCACTTCCTTACATCTCATCTTTGAGGTGAGTGAGGTTAGGAGCAGGGAAAAGATACTACAGGAGGGAGGGAAATAAAGGGGACATATAATTTGAGTGTTGCCTGACCAGCAGAAGGTGAAGGTAATCGTCACTTTGTGAAAGCTCCTCCAGCTCAGAGTACTTGCTCTGCAGTTGTGTGATCTCCTCCTGCAGCTCTTCAATCATCGCTTCGTCTTTGTCTTGTGATTTTCGGAGCTTCTCCTCGATGTTTGATTTCAGTTTAGTGTGAGTCACTTGTACATGATTCATCAGAGTATTGAAGAGCTTATCACTCTCATCAATCTCTTTTTTTGTTTTTTCCTAACAAAAATAAATAAAAGCATGGTATATTAGCACAGGATTATATTAAAGTGTAAAACAATGCAGGTGCAATTTTTTCCCCCAGTACTCACTTGACTTATTTCAGAAGACTCTGTAAATTCCTTTATCTTTTCCATTCTCTGCTCAATCATAATTTTGATCTCTGCTTTCTTGGAATCAATATTTTCCTAAGATGTGGAATTTGGAGACAGAAAGGTCATTTACAAATCAATTTACTCTCGGAGGCATTTAACAAAATAAAACTATTCTTACTTTCTGTTGAGCCCCTTCTTCTTCAACAGGCACCGTCTCGTGGCACATGTGGTCTGTCTCGCTGCACAGCAGACAGATGCACACCTGCTCATCCCTGCAGAAAAGCTCCAGGATCCTCTCGTGCTTCTCACACATCCTCTCCTCCAGGTTCTCCACCGGGTCCATTAGCTTGTGTCTCATCAGGGAGGGAACTCTTTGGTGAGGCTCCAGGTGGGCTTCACAGTACGACGTCAGACACACTAGGCAGGACTTCAGGGCCTTGCACTTTGCATCTGTGCACACATCGCACGTTACCTGCCACGGTGCATCAGCACTTTCAGGTTTATCAAGTTTCCTCTTCTTTATTTGGACTGAAATCTCCTCAATGACCATGTTTGTGGAGATCTCTGGCCTCACGTGGAATCTTTTATTACACATCGGGCAGTGGCATAAATCACTCCTGTCCCAGTGCCCACTGAGGCAGGTCTTGCAGAAGTTGTGACCACAGGGTGTCGTAACCGGGTCATTGAAGATGTTCAGACAGATCGAACACTGGAAATGATCCTCCGGCAATGAAGCAAGGATACTGAATGATGACATTATGGAATCTCTGTGGGAGAAAATGTGTCATGATTTAGTCTTGTCTGCTCTGTTTTGTTCCTGTCTGCCTGATTTGTGTCACCTTTTATCACCCTGCCTGCCTGTGTGTGTCTTACCTGTTTGCTGATTACCTGATGTGTATCATCTGTTTGTGCTCCCTCTCTGCTTGTTGGCCCATGTATAAATGATTGTCAGTTCTGTTCAGTCTCAGTCTGGTTATTGTTGTTTGTCAAATGTCCTGCACACCTGTGAGTTGTACTGTTGCTTTTTCACTGCATGGACTCAGCCTTTTCTGGACTTCGTCTACACTACATAGTGTTTGCCCTGAGTTGCTGTGCGTTAACTAAATATTGAAAACTGTACCCTGCTCTCTGGTGTCTTGCATTTGGGTCCTAAACCAGCCTGTCACTCAGCCATTCCTGACAAAATACGATTCGTATGCTTTATATATCTCTTCTTTCAGGCTTTTTACTTCATGGTTAACAGGATGAGCACCACGTTTTTGCCTCATACTGAATATGGATACAAAAATTAGGAAAACAGCCAAACATTCTCCAAGCCTTTGAAATCAAGTCCATTTTCAAGATGTTTACCATGTGAATCCTGACCCGCCCCGATGAGTCATTTTCATGTGAATCATCTTGCACATCTCAGCCTGGCTTAACATTCTTACAGATCTGTATTTTTAATTTAATTCAATTTAGAATAAGTTGGAAGTACGGACCGCTCACCTGACTCTTTGAAGCTCTTCTGTAAACTCCAGACACCTAAATCGTGTATCACGTGCAAGACCACACACAGTAATTATGTTACAGCAAACAATCCTGTACACATCAGCTCTTACATGGAAACGCAGACAGAGAGTCCTGAGAAGCTAGTGCGCTAGTGTCAGTGGGTGTGGTCAAATGACATCATTTTACTGAAATGAAACTTACAGTATTTTCCAAAAGTCCATGAAGCCAGAAATAGTGACATTTGGGAATAATTGAGGGAACATTTATTGTTAGAATTCATAAACACACCTCTCTTCACCATAAAACCTTCGCTGCATCAATCACACTTAATCAAAAATCAACGTGCAAACAGAGATCTAAAAACTACACTTTCTTTAGATTCTTTAAAATGTCATGCATTTAAAGGCATAGTTAAATTTAGGAAATATATTATGCTTGTTTAATGAATTTTCTTATCTAACCCTTGGCAAGCAACTGGTTAAGCGTATATCTCAATAGGGAATGTGAAGGTGACATCACTCTGTGTGTCATTATGGGTCCACCGCCATATTTACAGGATCGCACCCGCTCTACCCCACTGTATTTGAATTTGTGTGTTGGAGGCTGTGTTTGGATTTTACGTTTTGATAAACGTCGATGGTTGGTCAGTGCAGCTCAATCAAGAACTGCCATAGCAACGGCCACCGAAAAGGTAAACAGAGATCGTGGCTGTAAACATGGCACCCACGTCCCACAATGTAACACTGCGTGTCGTATCTTCACATTCCCAAAAGAAAGTACAATGGTTTATTTATCAAAATGTGAAACTATTCCTATAATTAGGGAGCTTTAGGGGTGCTGGTAAAAAGGTATATATACATATATATATCTTTTTGCTTCTGGAAAGAGCCAGGCTAGCTCTGTTCCCCCTGCTCACAGTCTTTATGTTCAGCCAAGCTAACCGCCAACTAGCTCTAGCTTTTATATTTAGTATACAGACATCAGGGTGGTGTACAAAACACGTGTACAATTAATATGTTTGTTGAGCAACACTATACATGTAATAAATATACATAAATCATAAAATACAGGATTTCAGTTTTCATAGGGGCTTTTCAGTGTTGTTGTTACAGTCAAACTTGTCCTTAGCTTTGCTTGATCAGGCTTTTCTCATTCACAGGACAAATCACGATGGTATCAGAGGCTTTGTCGCAGCAGTACAGGTAGAAAAAGGGCAAGATCTTTTCCATGAACGTATCTTTGAATGTGTAAATATGGGTCCGAGCCCTAACGTCATAAAAGGACACTTGCCCCTCCTCGTAGTCCACGTACACACCCACTTGTTTGGGCTTGGGGTTAAGGGGGAGCAGTATTGGCGGGGATGTTGACACTCGGTACCCCTGGCCTTTCTTCATGGCCAGAGCCCAGTAGCCCTGGGATGTGCTTACAGAGATCCTGCCCTTTCTGTTGACAGAAGACCTGGCCACGCCCAGATACCAGTCGTCTTTGTCCCCCACCTGAACCTCCCAGTAATGTCTCCCTGAAGTGAAGCCCTCACGGCCCAGGACGATGACCACTGTGTCAAAGCGGTCTGGGTTGTCTGGGAGGTCCTGCCATGCACCCAGGTGTCTCACCTGACGTCTGTCCTGAGAAAGCTGCAACCATGGGTTGGCTGAGTCAGGGTCCAGAGTGACGTCCACTGCAGAAACGCAAGACATAATGAAGAATTTATTTGTTGGAGGGTTTCAAGAGGATGAAAAATTCAAACCAAATTAAAAAAAAAAAAGTTTACCTGCATATTTCAGAACCTTTTTGATCTCTGTAATAAACAAAAGACAAAAGTGTCTGTCCAGCATGTTGAGGTGATACTCTCAGTTTAAGATAAAAATGAACAGGAAGATATAAAACATATCTATATAAGGAAATCTTACCACTTTCAGCCAGTTTGCCAATCATTTCATTTAATGAGGCCTCCAGTTTGGATATGGATCGCCTGATCATGCCAACACACGTGTCAGTGGGAACACTGGTTCCAGACCAGTCTTTGACAGAAGGTGGAGTGCTAAGGGCTGGGAAGTTCTACAGAGAGATAGAGCATAAGAAATGACTCAGAAACAAGTTAGTTAATACAATAGCATACCCACAGTTTTAATACAAAATACATCCCCAGTGTACAGTGTATTTTGAATTATGTGCAATCGGTTTGCATCACAGTTCAGAGCAGGAAGAGGGCACTGTTGTTACCAATGATGTAAAAGATCTGATTTTCCTGCCAAACCAGATGGTGGTTAATGGAAAAGTTATTTTACCATGATAATAACCTTTAGTAGAACAGTGGAGAAAAAACAACAACAACAAAAACAGATTTCTTCTTTGCAATGAAAGCAAGAGGGTGATTGGGAACTGTGGGCACAAGCTCAAATAGCAAATTTGTGATCCCCGTCTTGCTCTTTCACCTTTAAGAAGTGAATGTGGTCAGTCCGAGCCATGTTCTCCAAGTCTGTGTTCCTCCTCTTCAGCTCAGCAATTTCCCTATCCAGCTCAGCGATGAAGCCTTCAGCCCACCTCTCCGTCTGCCTCTGCTTCTCCTCAATGGACAAAACCAGTTCAGCCTGAGTCCTCTGGATGGAGCGCACCAGCTCTGAGAAGACCTGCACACTCTCCTCAATCTCTCTCTGAGCACTGGCCTGAAAATACAGACAAAATATACAAATCTATGTTGAATAATAATCTTGCTGTAAATGCATTTACTGATGGTATTAGAATTTTTTTGTGTACCAGCACAATCTGTGACAGTGGTCTATATTTAATCTCAGGAGGACTCACTTTGTTTAGTTCCACACACTGTTTGATCTCCTCCACCTTTTTCACTCTGTCCTGTATCATCTGTTGGACGTCTATTTCTGTCCTCTTCAGCTGCGCCTGCACAACATGATTTCACACAAACAAGAATGATGACAGGCACGCACACGATAACTTGATATTCATTTTTAAAGTTGTAATTGTTTTTGAGGTTTTAGAGACAATTACACAACCATTGCCCATGCACTATATGAGGAAATTATTTTGTGATGACAGATGTAAGTCTTATACAAACATTACCGAGTGGTGAAGCTGCTGTCTGTAAGAGGCATAAATAATAAACCTAAAACATGTCATATGGAACCATCAAACCAAAGGTTTACAGGGTGCAATTAGATTAAATTTAAAGGTTAAATCTTGTAATTGACAACACTCATTGGTGCTGCACCTTATTATGATCCATTTTGGTTGTGACCTTTAGAGGCCGTACAATGGTAGCACAGAAGGAAGTCGGGTGACACATAGCAAATAGTGAGAAAGTCTGCATAAAGAGGTGTATGGATGGGTCAAAACCAGGACTTTTACAGAGAAGAACGCTTTAATTTTAAGTTAGATTATGTATACTGACTTACCAAATGTGTCATCTGGGTCAAATGTGTGTTTAGGTATAAGTTAATTGCCCTTTTGTTTTGTCTTTTTAGCTTGAAAATGTGTTATTACACTGACTGTGAAATTTGTATTTCACTCTAGAAATTTTCACTTTTCTTTGGCTTTCTCATTTGAGAGCTCAATTTAAAACTGCTCTACCTATGACAAATCACTAAAATATCTGATCTTTGCTTTGGTCCACCTCACCTTTTTGTCTGTCCATTCTCTCTCCACAGGGACAGTGTAGTGCGCCCTGTGGTCTGTCTCAGTACAGAGCACACACACACAAGTCTGATCCTTCTTACAGAACAGCTCCAGGAGCCTTTCGTGCTTCGGACACATCCTGTCCTCCATGTTGGCTACGGGCTCTATCAGCTTGTGCTTGGTGAACCTGGCGGAATGAGATTTCAGATGCTCCTCGCAGTAGGAAGTCAGACACACAAGGCAGGATTTGACCGCTTTTGGCCTGCCGTTCCCCAGGCAGACATCACAGAGGACCTCCTCCCAGGAAGGAGGCGGGGTGGAAGAGGAGGGAGATAAAGGGGAGATTTGAGGAGCTGGAGAAGCAGTGATTTGAGGTGAGGGTGGGGGTGATGTTTGGGGCAGCTGAGGTGGAGTCAGTGGCGGCCCCTGAGCTGTGGCTTGAGGTGATGGTGGAGGAGAGGTTTTGGGTGCTGACACAGGTGGGATCAGCGGTGGTAACTCGTCTTGTAGTGGCCTTTTCTCTCCAGGTTTCTCTTTCTTTCTCCTCTCCTCCTCTTGTTTCTGCTTCAGCTCCTCCAGAAGCAGCTGCTTCTGATCTTTCTCCAAAAGCCTCTCCTCATCCTCCTTTTTCCTTCTTTCCATTGTCCACTTCTTTTCTTTTATGTCTTCCTCCTCCTCCCTCACCGTCCCTTCTGCACTTCTAACTCTGATCTCCTTGAACTGCTCCGCAATTTCCCTGAGGACCGTGTTAATGCTAATATCAGGCCTTTTGTGGAAAGACTTCTTACACATAGGACACTGGTACAAAGGGCTGGTTTTCCAGTATCCAAGGATGCAGCTCTGGCAGAAGTTGTGTCCGCAAGGGATGGACACCGGGTTGGTGAAGACGTCGAGACAGATGGAGCAGTGCACCTGCTCTTCAGAAAGGTTCCCAGTGGTGGCCATTCCTGCACGGCGGAGAGGCAGGGTCATTTTCAGAGAAAGCAACCGGCCTCTGAATGGGGCATCAAACCTGCTGTGATATTGAGGTCGCTAGGGTTAGATGGCGTGACTTATGGGGTGATTTTCATGCAACTCTACAAAGAAAAGCATGACAGGACTCATTTATATTTACAAGCCAAATATTTGAAAATATAGGTTCTGTCAATTCAAGGTTTTATACCATAAGATTAAGTCAAACTGTTTCTTTTTTTCATAATAAATGAGCCCCTGTGAGTCTTGGGGAGTATTGCCAGACTCTGTATTGATTTTGGTTTGTTTTATTCTTTTTTTAAGTTTGTTGGGTCTGACCCTAAGGCTGATCCATATCAATATCTGAATCTTAATGTAACAACTGATATTCTGTTTGAATATAAATAAAATATATCTGCAAAGAACCCCTTAAATTTAGATGAAGATACTGGGGGTGAGGGAAATAAACTTCTCAGTGCTCTCTGATGGACAAACTATGTAATAGCAACACTGTTTTAAAGATTTCTCAAACATCTTGTTGGCATTTACTGCAAATTATTCATTATTATTAGCCATCCACACTACCAATATATTTGTGATAAGCTAATATCTGCTGCTAACATTGGGTATCACAAATGATTTTCTCCAGACCATGACCATCCTAACTTTTAAAAAAAGACATTTGCGCTTTTCCTTGTACTTCTAAATATATCATGCTTGTTAAATTAGCCAGTACATTAGCAGAGTGTCTGTGAAGTTGTAAGTAAGTGTGTTTGACTTTTAACACAAGCTGCTCTCTGGTTGAGGCCTAGATATTCAGAGCAGATTAACATTGGTTTAGCCAGTGATCTGTCTTGCAGTGCGCTAAACAATATGGATACACGCCTCATGTGCAAACTGACTGCAACAGAAAAAAAAAGTCTGTAGCTCAGGTCACAGTTCTTAAGCAGCCAAACAGCAATACAAACAATCCAAAATGCAAACAACACTCCCCTCAGAGACCTACTGGTGCACAGAGCAGATGTAACAGTATAGATATAAAAATGCAGGAGTGGACGAAGAGCGACAGAAAAAGCAGTGATATGGGGACACTCACCAAAGAGCAGCTGCCTCAAAGCTCCACTGTACACTGACATATGAGACTGGCTGTTACCACTGCCACCTCACACACACACACACACACACACACACACCTCAGCCCTAAAATATACCCCCCTCCCTCTCGTTTTACCCCAGATACAAATTTATACTCCCCCTGCTGTGACGATCAGAGCTCCAGGAGGAATGGCTTTAACTCTTGAGAGAATACAAGGAGTCAAGCATGGATTAAACACAGAAAACAACAAAAAAACAAACAGTGCAGCAGCCTTTAGCTTCCAGTTTGGTAAAGCTCATTAAGTTTGGTTTCGTTAAAGGCACAGTTGTGATGTTTGTCATTTGAAATGTCAATAAAAACATCATGAGCTTCACTAATTTGGTTTTGCAGGGCTATTTCCAAAATTAATCTTCTCACAAGAACTTGCAAATGGCAAAGTATTATTTATTTTCTCTTAAAACTGATTGTTTGATTGATTTGGTTGGTTTTTGATGCGATATGTAACGCTAGTACCCACCAAGGTAACCAATTGAGAAAACAAATGTGCATTATAAAGTATTTAAGCAGTAAGCTTAGCTTAGCATAAAGAAAGAATACAACTGGCGATTTTCAAGGGTAAAAATTACAAGCCTGCTAAAACACCACTCGAGCGGCCATGCAACCTCACAACACAATGCTCCAGGACATCACTGTGCTAGGCCAAGAAATATTGTGGCACATAACCACCTGAACAAAATCACAAATAGATGTTTATTGATTGATAAGCTGATAAGACAAACTAACAGTAGCTTATACATATCCAGCAGACATGAAGCATTATTAGTATTGTTTTAAGTCCAATATTAACTCCTTTTAGCTGTATTTTGTTCTCCACCAACTCCTGAGAAGAGAAGAAGTATCTAGCTGTTAATGTTCCGCAATGTTTACCAGTGTCCGTAAGGCAGCTAGTATACAATAGCTTTATCAGACCTTTTTGCTAAAAACACCGGCTATCTGTGGCTGCAAATAAAGTTGATGAGAGTGGTGTAAGTGAACCAAAACTGCAAAGTTGCGGGACGTAAAGCCAAAACAATGAGCTGAAAGAACTGAAAATGCTCCATAGAGCTGAGGGGAACTACAGAGTTGAGTGAATAATTCTCTGTGGGTTTGTCACTTTCACATTACATACTTATTTTATCCACTGTGAATGCAAAAACGATGATTAGTGCAGCTTTAAGGACATTTTGCCCGCTGCGGAGCTAAACACTTTGGATAGGAACAAAGTTAAAGACAAATCCCTTCCTCGCCAGTTGAAAAAAATATATATTAAACTTTGTATTCGTTTGTGACTTATGATCTTTAATGAACAAGTTCAGAAAGAAAGTACAAAAGCGAATGTTTAATATAAAAATACAGAACATAGTATCATGATTCATGAAATAACTCTGCGTCTATATTAAAGCTGGGGAAGGCAAAGTATTTTTGTTGTTGTTATATTTATTGAAACTCTTTACATACCAACAGTAATCAATAAATCAAATGCTCTGACACAAAAATGAAAAAAACAACTCTGGTATCTGTGGCTGTAATAAGCATAGCCAATCATTTAATTTGCACTCACTGAGCATGAAAATGTGTTTTGGGGTAGTGGCTTTGGAGGAAGACAGATTTTTTTAATTTGGATACTTCTTAAATCTAAATCTAGCTGCAATGTTGCCTAACCCAGCTTTTGTTTTAAAAAAAAAAAAAAAGTCCATTACAAAAATTACAAACAATGTCACATTCCTACAGAACAGACAGAAATATTTTTTATTTCTTTAGTACTTTAGAAATTACATTTACATCTATTCAACTTCATTGTTTTAATCTGTAAAGTCAGCACAGACTTATAGTTAGAGGTAAACAAAGATAAGTAGGGAAAGTACAGCATTACTCAAACTCAATCTTCTTAACATGTGCTGCCAAAATTAAAAACCTCAGGACAAATTTGGCCTTTGGAATAATCTTCTCTACTCCTTCACATGTTTTTACAGAAAAATATCTGTGTTGTTTATTATGTATACACAAAATTTGAGATAAGTTGTATAAAGTTTAAAATAACTATTGGCTACTATTAAAGAAGCAAATTGTAAATACATTTCTCTGTAATATGAAGTCAGTCAAAACAAAATACCATCCATGTTACATTTTGGTTTCTTCTGACATAAAACTGATGACACGATGCTTGCTTCCATTTTATTACTTCGAGACAGTCACTTGGTAGGTCTACAGCCTTTATAGGATCTGTGTTGAGCCTGATTTTAATTGACAAATGCAAGAACACGTCCATATGATGAGGAAGCGTTGCAGCGGGTACTTTTGATATGCAAAGTCACTTGTTTTGTTTTTATTTCATTAGAATGAAAGTTGTTTGAGGTAAAGTCCTTTGCAAACAACTGTAACTGCCATTGCTCACTGAAAAGAGATTCATATTTTAAGATCAAATAAAGGAGGAAATCACATGTTCAAAATGAAAAAAATAAGTATCTGCACTTTTTGTCCTAAAGATGTTATCAAGGTTTAACCCATACTGACTGATTCACCAGGCTTTTGACTGGCTGTTGGTCTCAGGTGTGTTTAACAGTGGTTATGATGAGAGGAGAAGAGTTTTTCCCCTCCTGGTCGAGACAGGGGCTAAAGACTGGGTACAGACTCTCATTAAAGGTATCGAGGAAGCTGTAGAGATGCAGACGAGCCTTCACATCATAGAAAGAAATCTGGCCTCCGTCATAATCCAGGAAGATTCCCACTTTAGTGATTGGGGACGGCAGCGTTAGAGGCAGGCGGTACGACGCTAAAGCCTTCACCTCCCCGTTCTTCAGCCACAGGCACCAGTATCCCCCCTCAGGACTCAGCTTGATCTCACCCTTGCGGCGTGCAGAGGCGGTAGCCACGCCAAGCGTCCAGGCAGTCTTGCGCCCCACTTCCACCTCCCAGTAGTGTCGCCCAGAGGTGAGACCCTCTCGGCCCAGGACAAAGAGAGCGGGGTTGAAGCGCTTCGGACCGTCAGTGTGAGAGATCTTATGCTCATCATATCTCACTTGGCGACCGTCTTCGGACACAACCAGGTTCTTCTGGGCCGTGGCAGAGTCCAAAATCACCTCACCTGGACAGGACAGAGCAGAGTAGAGCAGAGCAGAGCAGAATATGAGGCTGGGAGAAGAGTCCATAAACAAAGGCCCTGTTCAGTGTGTGAAATTATGGGGCCCCAAAGTCCCAAAGGATGATTATTTTTTAATTTGGTGCAAAAAATTTTATCTTTAGCAACAAGATACAAAATTATTATTATTTTTTTTTTTGTAGGAAGTGTGGGGCTCTGTATTAAATATAATCATTTGGTGTTGATTATTATCATGGGTGTGTTAAAATGTATGCGGCATTTTAATACAGCTGGTTGAGGTGAAGCTAATTTGAAGTATTTTATAATCTGCTGGGTTGCTCAAAGACCCTGCACACCCAACGCACTTACTTGCCTGATAATGCCTTTCTCAGTACTGCGTGTGTGTGTACAGACTGAGCATGACTGACACCTGTGTCATTCACCAGTTAGTTTTGTTGGTGACCTCCTGTGAGTTCTCAAACTCAAACTTGGCAGCTACAATAACTGCAAACATCCCAACTAACTGTAGCTGCAAAATAACACTATTTTCATCTGAAATGCTATAATGGAGTATAACTATAAAGTAACATACATTGAAAGTACTCAAGTACAAGAACCTCAAAGTTATGACAGTGAACTTTACACTCTTAAACTGGCTGCATGTCTGGTCTGGGTTTGTCTCTGCAGAAGAAGTGGCGCCATCTTATGGAACATTTTGAGAACTGAACATGATATTACACTTTGGCTGCACTGCTCAATATTGTCCAAAACACCTGCAGACTTCAAAAATCTCCAATGAGAAAAGTCATAACTCCCTGTCCCAAACGAGTGTTAAGTACTGATCCCCACGCTGATAATTTAAAGTCTTACTCACTTGAATAGTTCTGCACCTTCCGGAGCTCTGAGAGAGACACAGACAGCAAGACATGGACAGAAAGAAAAAGAGACAGACCAAGTCAGCAAGTCATTCAGCTAAAGAGTCAAAGTCAAAGCAGATGGCACGTGTGGCTGGTAAACATGTAGATCTAAACCAGAGCTGTAAATACACAAAACATGTGCTGCTGTCAGTCAGTGCTCTGCTGCTGCCTCTGCATTGATTCCAAGTGGGTGAACTGTGGCGTCAACACTATCTCCATCTGTCCGACCATCTTGTATGTGTGAACATGAGAGAGTGGTGGGGGTTGCAATGATGAGTCACTTTTCTATTTCAAAGTGCTCTTACAGTGACCTACATTTCCCTGATTTGGAGTTTGCACAGGAAGTGTGGTTGGTGTTAGACAAGGAAGGATGGATTTTACTGTAACTTGGTGTAGATACTCCACACAGACACCCAGCAGTGCAGGTTGGCTGTGACTGATTTTCAAAATGATAGAGACACCAAAATGCCACCAAAATTTCTTGCAGTTTACATACTTTTATTTTGAAAGTATACTGTACATGTCGAATGCAAAATACATGTACATGTGTTAATATGTTAGATTATGTAATTTCCAAATAATGTATTAAAAAATTCTAGTTATCATATTTAGTAAAAATATTGAGTAAATGCAGTATCAGTATGAAATTTACATTTTGACATGTTGTTATATAGGAGATGAAATAATAGGAACACCTAACAATGCAATTCAGTACAACAGCCCATCAATGAAGCTTATGATGTTTAACTATTGTTGTTTTAAGAAAATAAAAAGTTTAATTTAATGTTTTACAGCTATAGTTTTGTAGTATTGTTGAATGTGACTACATTACTATAAGGTGTTTCTTTTATTTTGTCTGTCAGTCAATTAACTTCGGCTAGCTGCCCTCACCTTTTCCGTACTGCCTTTTGAGCTCCTCCTGGAACTTGTCAATGAGGCTGCTGACAGATGAGCGGATGGTTCCCAGGTAGAGGTCAGTGTTGATGCTGACCGCAGACCAATCAACGGGTTCTGGTGGGGACTGCAGCGTCGCCAGGTTCTACAGGAAATGGAAGAGCAAGGTTATACAAGGTATGATGAAATTAAAATATAAGGATGCCTCAGGGGAAATAAAGTCTTTGTGGTAGAAACAACAAACTAAATATGACACTCCAAATAAGTTGGAAAAATCACTATCAGTACTGTCTTATTGGTTTAAAAATCATTACAGTGTGCAGATTTATCTCTATAAGTCTGAGTCTAGTAATGCAAATAACCATCCCAGTCTACACAGTATCACTTGTGTAGGATATTATAAGCTAATTTATATCAGAAGAGTTACAGATATAGAATAGTGTTTGATTGCATAATCTTAACTTTGCTCTTACAAACACTGTGTCTGGGTATGTGTGGCTTTGTGAAAAAAAAAATCTAAACTGGTAACTTCAAAGACATCTTTCATGAGATAAAATCAACATTTTATCTACATAAACAATCCAGGATAAATGCACAAGGGGAACATCCGTAACAGCTGGCTCTGTTCATAGAGGCTTTTGATGTTGTGTCACTAATATTCCAGCAACTACAGCTGGTGCAACCATGGGGGTCCGCTGGATAATTAGCTGGGTGGAAATTATTTGGATAAATAATGAAGATAGAAAAGGAGAGGTAATTTAACAAATATATATTTTCCATCCCGGTCTGCAACATTATTAATAACAGTATAGTCTGTTAAGATAGACATCTTTCAGATTTCCATTACTGTGAGTATAGCAGCTTACCCTGCTATGTCTTAAGGCCTTAGCCCTTTATCTAATTAGCTCTCTTGCTGCGTCCTAAATGCATATTAAATGTGTTTTGTGTATGTAGGCTGCACTCTGGGAAAATTACTAATGAAGTAATCTTTGAAAGGCCAGCATGCATTTTTAAAATTATAGTTGGTAGGTGTGGTCGTGATTTTAAATATTGATCATCAATAATGATGAAAGAACTGGAAGAACTACACCAAAGCTGCAGAAAAGTGGGACATTATGGAGGGTCATGCAAATGTGGCAAACAACAAAAATGTATTATTTTGAAATTCTGAAAATCATCTTGAATCTCGTCATGTTCTTACTAAATGACAGCTCTGGGAACAACTACAGTCACTCCATATTTGTTTGTGTTCATATTTGAAATGTGTTCTTTAATCACAGCTGAATATGCCGTCTGACAAAAAAAAAAAACACATTTGATCCTCCAAACTTTAGTTTCTCACGAGCCTGACCTCCAACATGGCTGCCACGGGATGTGTTGTGTCACTTGAGAGCCTGTACTATACCTGTAGGAAGACCACTTTGTCCTGGGTCTGTGTGTAGGATTCCAGCTCATTGTTCCTCCTCCTCAGTTGGCTGAGTTCGTTCTCCAATCCTCGGGCCAGTTCCTGAGCGTGGCGCTCAGCATCACGCTGCCTCATGGTGATCAGCTCCACCAACTCCGCCTGACTCTGCTCCACCATACGCTGCAGCTCCGCATAAACCTGCCAGCTTTCCTCCAACTCCTTCTGAGCGCTGGCCTGCAAAGAAGGGGGCATGGGATAAAGGTTAATGTGAATATTGTCAAAATCACCATTAGTCAAGTTCAGATTAAAGCTCAACTCAAAAGGGTCCAGATAAATCAAATCCTCCTGAAAACCAAATTCTATATATATTTATTTCTTAAAACTTAGAACTCTGCTATCTTTACACACACATGTCAGGTTCAGAGTACTACAAAGTCTGTGTATAATGTTGTATAAAGTTTAAGAAAATAACCCTGATGATGTTACGGCAATGTCATCAGAGTTATCTCAGCTTGGACTGGGAGTCTATAATTGAAAGCCTGCATTACAAACTTTAAGTGCAGAGTTTAAAAAAAAAAAGTTGTTGTTTTTCAAAGGGGCTATATGTAGTAAATCTACTAAAATTAATCCTTTTTTTATTGCCTGTGTGTAAAAGGGTTGTAATCTGACATTAAAATGATCAGCTTGCCGGGTTTGGCTATTAACTCTGAAGGCAAGTATTCCTTTTTGAAGGCTCCGGGTCGGACTTTCCGCGAAATCCAGTGACTGACACCTGCATGCGCGCTCCCGAGACTCTCGCTTTGTCTACTGACTTTGCACTCAGCAGCGACGACACTGCAACTTATGACATGGAGTCTGCTAACACTAAGAAACGACCTGCTCCCAGCACAACACAGACTCCAACACAAACTCCACATAAGGATAAAAAACAAAAATAAGTTTTATCTGCTGAAGCTCCTCAGGCCAAATGTGTTAGTTAGATAGCGTTAACTCGCCAGCTAACGCCAAGTAGTTGCAAATGTTGTCTGGTGAAAAGTTATATCGCTTTCACATTACTTCACCAACTAATGCAACCCATGTTACTTTCCTCTGTAGCACTGTTATGTCAAAGTGTCAAAGCCTGCAAGAAATGATGTAATGGTAAAAAGCTAATGTGGAGCGATTTGTTTACTATCCCATAGTGATGCAGCCACAAGCAGCCAGCTAACGCTACAGTAGCTCGGACCTGCCGCTGTTTGTTTCGTAACGTTCAATTTAGATTTATTGCCTTTTACTGATACTCAGGTACACAGCTTCTCCACCTCTCAGTCGCTGTAACTAACATGACCCACATAATATACAACCCAGAGGAAGAGACATCCACTAACACTACAGTAAATTTACTTACTGTTATAAAGTGTGACACAATCTCGTCCAGCTCACTAACGTTAACAGTTTCATTATTGTCCAAAACATGTAGCGGTGCTAAAATTGCCGAGCCTGACAGATACACAGATAGTAAAGACAGTTACTGAAAGCAGCAGGCGAGCTAACGATGTAGCACGTCGGCTAAATGCAGTCACTGTAACTTTATCATGTAACGAGCATGGATTAGTTCAACATCAAGCTGATAAAAATATTACTGTAACGTTGTAGTGGGAGTTTACCTGAGTTTCCAGCATGTTGTGTGAAGCTGGCTCCCTACCTGTCTATAGCCGCTTTCACTTTTTTCGGGAGTACTGTGCCAATGTGCCCTGTGAAAAGCCACGGCCTGCATGCTGGTTTTCCTGCGTTTATTGCAGGATTTCTGTATGAAAGCGGTTGTGTTTCGGATCCTGCTCGCTCATGAGTTCAAGCGAGCACGCGTACGAGCACACGCCTGGTTGCAATCTTAAAACCGCACCGCTAGTGGCCGCTGGAAACTACATAATGCCCCTTTAAATCTGTGAAACCCCAACTTAATGTATGTGTAATAATAAATTACTGTAGTATTACTTTAAATTTAAACTGTTTCAAATCTGGAACAAACTCACAGAAATCCTGAGGTCTGTTCACTGTCTTTTATGAAAATTTACATTTGGAACCATTTGCTCATAGGTGCTGTGCCACAACTGGACTGTAATTTTTATTCTCCCAATTAATTTAAATTTAATTTTGTATAATCTGATTTTTATCTGCTATTTTACTCGTTTTAAATCTTTGTGTCTTTTTATAGCACCTCATTTTCCCTTTATTTCTTCTCTTAATGCCATTTTATGTCTTATGTAGAAAATCTCTTTGAATTGCTATGTTGAGGGTGTGATACAAATAAACTTGCCTCTCCTTTAAGTGTCTGTTGCCTACAATGTTCCCACATCTGTCTCTCCCAAACCCTTCCTCTTCATCTAGTGATTGAAAGGGTTAGGCCTAAAATAGAACAAGTAAGAGTCCAATAAATTTAGCTGTGATGCACTGTAGTTTCTGTAATCACGCCCCTGAGTGGCTCAGAAAGTGTCTGTCTGCTGCTTGTACAACTGGACTAACAGGCCTTCCCCCACCCAAGCATGGGAAACTACCACGCTTCTTATCTTAAACTTAACTTAACAAAAACATTTCAGTAAGTTTACAACTACATTTATGCTTTAATTTAAATAAACAAAAGCGGGTAATCCTTCGCGCTCTCTTTTCTAATCCTCGAGGTAGGATATAAGTAAGTAAATGTTTACGCTAGTCAAACTGGTTGGACGGTTTCAGACAACTATCTGACTTTCTCTCTAAGAGAAAAACAAACTGCATTAGCAGGCCGTCCTCTCCATGATCACAGAGCACAAGCGGTACAAGAAAGATGCGGGCAAAGTCCTCACCAAATGTGGTGCAGATTTTCTAACAAAGTAAATCTACAGTACGATGTGTGATTTGTAAAAGTGAAATGTTATCACAGCAACAGCTATGTTTCCTGTCAAAGTATCCTTAAGCAACCGTCTGCTCCCGATTGTGTAAGCTTTCCTAGATCTGAGTGCTGCTTGAAGTGCAAATAAAGCTTTAGAGCTTCAGCACATGAGGCTACATTAGAGTAGACTGGGTAAATATTTAATATGCAGTACAGGAGGGAAGAGTACAACAGCGTTAAGACAGACTGCCTGATCAACACAGACTTTAAAACACATGACAGACATGTTAGAAATCACCTACATGGCAACTCACTCTAAATTAGAAGACTGATAATACAAATTTGGATATTGGTCAGTCGGTGTCAAACACTTTTTAAATAACACATGGATTATAAGTGACAAAACAGCGAAATGAAGATGTATAGCTTAAGTTCCTGAATAGATCAATTCTACAGGTTCATCCTGTAAATAATAAGTGTGTTCAATTTTAAATTCAAAATGATTACTTAAATCCATATAATTATCTATGTGGATTTGATCAAATAGAGGCTGTAGGCATTGTTAAAAAAAAACTGCCACTGGTCTTAAACTTTGAAGAGCTGAAACTTGACTTAACTTTTAAACCTCTCGAGTATTTTCACCCAGGTTACCCTGGCTCAAATAACACACAATAACTCAAAGGCAATATCTTGATTCCTAAATAGTTTTCTACTAGCCGACTCACCTTGATGACTTTTATGGATTGTTTAATCTCGTCCAGTTTCTTGGATCTCTCCTTGATCAAATGTTTAAGCTCCGACCTCTTCTTCCCCACAATACTCTGTAAAAAGAAAATCAGGTTTGTGGCGACTAAAATTAGTATTGACACAGCTTTATACCACTGAAACCACATGAAAATCCTTGCAACTGTCAGTGAGGCAGTGCAAAACCAGCTAAATGTCAAAACGATCACTGGTTTTAAGGCTTCTACAAAGTCCACCAATCAATCCAAAAATTAGTTGTGAAAACATTTTTGCATACGAACTGGTTAAAATCTAATTTCATATAAAAGTTTGTATATGCCACCATTAAACTATGGTTAATTCAAAATGAAATAATTATTATAGGACTGTTTTATAGTTTGTTGTCTTTTTACAGGAGTTTCTTAAAATAATACTGATAATTAGAAGGTGTGGTAGCAGCATTTGTTTTTTCTAATTTTTTTTATTCTACCATTATTTAACAAACAGCTCACCATCTTCTTCTTCCACTCGTGGTCAGACGAGACAATGTCGTGGGATTTGTGCGTGGTCTCAGCGCAGACTGTGCAGATGCAGGTGTGGTCTGTGCGGCAGAAGACCTCCAGAAGACGTTTGTGTCTCTTACAGATCTTCTCCTCCAGGTGAAAAGTGGGTTCGATCAGGCGATGCGATATCAGAGACTTCACCTGGGAATTCGATCATACAGGGAGAAACTCAGGACTGTGGTTCGACCCAGTTGGAAGTTGACCCTAACCATGGGTACATTCAGTGAATCTGCAAAGTGGCTTGTGGTAGCAGGCTATTTGAACTGTGAAGCTCAGAGCATATTATTATGGAATGCATATATCCTAAAATCCTATTTATCGGTTGTACCAGAACAGGTTTACATGGTTTAATTAAAAAAAAACCCACCATATTTTTTTTCAAACTGCACATTGCTGCATCTGCTCTTTTTACCCTGTGTGTTGAAGGCAACACACCCTGTGTGTTGAAGGCAACACACAGTGATACATCTTGTCTCTAAATGATCTTTGTTGGGAGTTGCACATGCGCAGTTCCTAGTTAAGGACTACTAGCTAATCAGAAGCAGAGAAGGGCGGGTCAGTGAGAAGCAAACACAGCTTCAGTTCAGCTGTACATGTTGCTGACCAGCTTGGCTGGAGCAAGAATTTCAGAGTGGTGAGTTATTAATCTGTAACAAATGTATCTTTCATCCATAAAGTTTTAACTGAGCTCTGTCTCTACATCACTGTAACAACTTCATGTCCATTGACTGTCTGGAGGGTAGCTAGTGTTTGGAAGGGAGAGGAGGTGTGTGCTGCAGCTCAGTGTTTTTCCACCAGTGTTTTTGAGGGTGTGTCAGAGTAGCTGCTTGGAGCGTTATGAGGCGCATTTAGCTTTCATCCCCGTGAGGTCACAGGGATGAAAGGGAAGCGGCTGAACTACAAATGAGCTGTTTTCAAGCAGCTCAGAGCAGAGTTTTCTGTGGGAGATGGGAACTCCCTTTGGGCTGGTCTTTGGGCTATTTCACTTTGCGAACCTGTTACATGCACAAAAAAGGTAAATAACTCAATAAAGGAGAGGGAAAAAGCATAATACCACTTCTTTAAAAACTAAAAATGTCTGTTATACACCTTAAATGTAACATTATATATAACTGTGCACCATTGAAAATGCATCCTTGTTTTTAAAAGTCATTAACATATATGATATAGTATAAAATGGAATACAATGGAAAAAAAGTGTGTTTAATTTTACTTTCAAGTTCAACTGTTACAACATAAGAAATAATAAAATGATAACGAACAAAGAGAGGCATTGCCAAGGAGAAAGAAAACTGATTTTTATTATCTTGCAATAACCCGAAAAAAGAAAACACAACTGACCTTCTTATGATTTTTCAGGTGGGCCTCACAGAATGACCCAGGACAATTCACACAAGACTTGAGCGCCTTTAACTTCCTCCCGATACAGGCATCACAGGGAACCTCCCCAGCCTGGGCAAACTCCCCGGTGTCGGGCCCTGAAGAGCCCCCAAAGCCTGTATCTGAGCTCAGATTCAGTGTGGATCCCCTGGTAGCAGCCCCGGCTCCCACAGCTCCTCCAGCTCCTCCAGCTCCTCCAGCTCCTCCGGCCAGCATCAGCCCCTGGAACTGTGAGGAGATCTCAGCCAGGACCCTGTTGACACTCATCTCAGGTTTTCTGGAGTACCTCTTCTTGCACATGGGGCAGATGAACTTCTTACTGTGGTTCCAGTAGCCCTGTAGGCAGGCCTTGCAGAAGCTGTGGCCGCAGGGTGTGGAGACGGGCTCCACAAACACCTCTAGACAAATGGAGCAGCTAAACTGCTCTTCAGAGAGGGCCCGGCCTCTCGGAGAGCTTCCGTCTGGCAGAAAGATGCAGGAAATGAGAGAGACATAGAGACATGATATAGATTAGAGTCTTACGGTATGTTTCCAGATTGGCAAATACTGAAATGGAGAAATACTAAAACTTGACTACTGAATTTGTTCGGCTTCTGACTTGTTTCGCTGCCTTCTCAGGTCGTTTACAACTTTATGTCACAAATGAGTTTCTAAGATCACAGTTATGTCAGAGACGTGAACTGAAGCGTGAATCACTGTGAAACTGCCTGAGAAGGGATTTCAGGACAGAAGTCTAGCAGTTGCACTAGCAGATTTAGGAAAACATGATTTAATACTTGACTAAAGAAATGTTGTTTTCTGCATGCTTCATCTGACAGTAAGTCATGCTGTATGTGCTGATATTGAGCGAAATTATGGACGATTATGTACCTGTGTTGCCCTCTGTCTAACTACAGGGTCAAAGGTCCGTGTGTGTGCAGCTATAATCTGGTATTGTTCCTTTGGCACTTGAGTTAGATCATACAGTGTCACAGAGGAGAAGTGTAATGAGGTCATTTTGTATCATGACCTGTAAAATCTTCAAAATCCAGATGTGGTTTGGTTCAATTTTTAAAGTGAGAATATAATTTACATTCAGATGCTTTAATTTAATGGAACAAAGGAATGCACTGTAACATAATGCCTCGTTTGTCTTTTTGTATATCTTCTCCCTGATCTTGTTATAGCACCCTCAAACCCCACAAAAGAAAAAGAAAAATAGTTTAACTAGAAAAGCTAAAACAGCTACTTTTTCATCCCAAATTCGTAAGTGTTATCAGATATTCTGTACAAGATAACAACAAGCCTTTTCACACAAGCAGGAAGTGTATTTAAGAGCGTCATTCTGTCCTGAGTGCAACTATCTGAGGAATGCAGAAACTCAGGACCTTCTACCTAACAGCACCTTCTGCCTGTTTAGCTACAGGTTTTAAAGTAAACACAGCTCCCGCTGGAAATTTACACTGAACCAGTGACAACACGCAACCACAGTTTTTTGTGATTTTTAGGCCTAAATGTTGTTTTTATTGCAGATAAACTACATGTCACAGAATCAGTATTTATAATGTAAAAAAACAGTAATATAGATTATTCTTTTTTCAATTATGCAACAGCCACTAAAAACAACAAGTATACATATCTTCCACTATAGGATTATTTCAGGACATTAAGTCAGCTACAATAACACAAGCAATTGTTTTAAATAATATCAGCTTTTTCGCATTCATCATAGCTAAAAACAAGATATGCTCTCAGCTGAAAGTCTCCATTTATATATGGCACTGAAATAGGTTTTCTCTAATGCTTTATTGTGAAGTACGTTCAACTTCATTTCACTGTCTGACTGTACATATGGCACAAGCTACACAGAAAACCATATAACCTTATAAACAAAAGATTCCCAAAACATAACACGTCCCATAGTCAAAAACAAGATTTATTAGGTAAAGTAGAACTTACCCTGCATGTTTCTGTCTGACGTGGAGCAGTGCAGTCCTGCTATGAATCACACACCAAAAGGAGCAGGACTCCTTCCTGAAACTTGAAGTGGCCCTCCCACTCTCAGTGTGACACACCTTACCTTCCATGCAGGCCGTCCTTTTGTTAACACGCTCTGATTTCTATGGCCCTGCCATGTAGTTATGCAAAACCTTTACCCCAGAGGACGTGCTGTGCTTTCTCCATTTACATAGGTCTTTCCTGATCAGTAGGACACCTAAACAACTAAATGCAGATTGTGGAAATAAGCTAGCAGTTGTTGGTGAGCTAACAAATTTAGTTGTTTGTCACATTTTTCTGTAGTTTCTGCCATTGTCTCATTCTAAAAGATTACAAATGCTACAAAATAGTTGCACTCCAGAAAGAAGTGTACGGTATCATAAACTCTGTGACAAAAGATCCTGCACACTGTAATCACTTGTATTCAGCCTACATTCTTCCATTCTAACAAGTGACACACTGATATCAAGGTTAAAGAAAATGTAGCTACTTCTCATTGGATAATGTGGGATTATCTGAAAGTACCTTTTTCTTTTACAATGATGAAAGAACAAAACAAAAACACAGCACCCTGTTATTTGTAAAGCTTGGCTTTAAAAGATAACATTACAGACAGAAATCATTTGTTGTTATCAACAACTCACGTGTGGGTTCTATCAATACTACTGCGTTATTTGTGTGTCACATTTTCTTCAAATTGTTAGAGTTAGGGTTGGATCTACAAAAAATGTCCAAAAACTGAAGGTTAAACTCTGCTCAACAAGCCACGCACAAACACCAGAAATACAAGTAACCATGTACAAACATACATAAAGAACATGCGAAACTACTGTAGAAGGGAAGGTAAACATCATCACTTCCCAGGAAACTCAACAAACGTAACCTATTGGCCTCAGGTGAAGATACCAACGATGGTCGTTCAGTCTTGGCCACAGGTAGTCTTAACGACTGTAACGACTGTCGCCACAGCAACAAGGAGCACTAACGAACCAACGGTATCGATGACCCGGGATAACGACCCCACTGAGGTTAAATAGCTGAGTTTCCCTGCCAGTCAGTCAGAACTGAAGAAGTCCTTTGGATGAGGGACGAAATGTCTTCCAGTATCTTCAACCAAGTCCAGTTGCCCTTGATTTTAACCTTCGTTGGATAACTATGACCTGGATGACTGAGAATCTTCATAGACAAGGTAAACGTGCGAGTCTTGGCCTCTACCATGATGAACAACAACTGGCTCTCCTCTTAATCCACAAACATCCTCACCCTGCACACTTGCATGCACACAAAATATTGCCCTCCATCCCTGTGACCTACAGTCCACAAGCCGCTCTCCGGAGAGGGATTGATCTGCTCTCTCCTCAGCTAAGTGCCGGAAGCGACTCCCTGTACCCTGTTGGATTTCTCCTTTTCCCCGACCTCCCAGTAGTGTCTTTCTTTTGAAGACTTTACCGTCTTCAGAGACAATAAGGCCCTGCAGGGCCAAGGTCAATGGTGATGTCCTCTGTTAGAATATGTCATTCTTACTGTATAATGGCATGTAACATTCAGGTCGAAGAGGAAAGTGACTTCATTTTAAGTTAAATTTGAATAAAAATCTGACAGAAATATCCAACTTTGAAGTCAGTGAAAAATGCAGATTGCTGCACTTCCTTTAGCTCTGTGGGGGGGATAGACTATAATTAGCAATGTGATAAATGATGCTCTTGATGTGATCATTGATAAATGACAGAGTAGTTAAATAATGAAGCTCGATTTATCAAATCACCTGTAGTGTTCAGATCATCTTTAGTGATCAGACCGTCAATTCATGAGTTTATTTTTAGTGATTCCAGCATGCACTAGGCAAAAGGCAGGATACATAATACATAACAGGGCACACACAGACACTCCCTTTCACATTTGTATGGACAATTTCACATCTCTAATTCATCTGACATCCATGTGTTTACAGTGTAGGGCAATTATTTTCTGTAGTTCTGTCACTACAACCCTCTATCATAACATAACCCTTTATCATCCTTGCAGCCTGTTGCTCAGATTTAGCCCTCAGAGACATATTTTATGATTTTGGACTAGTATAAATAAAACTGACTTCACTTGTTTTCTAGTGCATTACAGGTGCACAGGGCTGCTACCATGGCTATAGACTTTTAGACTTTGTTGCGTCATTTGTAGAGATATCGTCACTTGTTTCCTTGTGAGTGGTGAAAGTACTGCAGTTGTGTCTCAACTTGCCTAATTAACTGTGGATACATTTCATTTCTCCACATTTTGAAGAGCTCTTCTTGATGTCATCCAGAAAAACAAACATGCATAAGCATACAAAAAAATACTATAATGTATAGATTCATTTTAAGGTAAATGCCTGCTACCTTATTGTAGCTTCACTGGAAATAGAAATTCACCAAAGTTTAAGCTGCTGTCAAACAGCAAGTCATTTTTAACACTTTCAGCTGCTGAATGTTGAGTCAGAAAGAATGGTGTGGATCGTAAATGGTTATTTGGGAGCATTTCTTTGTGTAAATGAGACTTTCAGGATTAGAGAGCGAGGAATTAATTAAGGTAGATTACTTTCAGGTGTGCACGGGTTGAGGCAGGTGTGCACAGCTGGTAATTAGGAGTTGTTCTGTGCTGTCTGTAGCAGTCTGAATTTACTTTCTCCAGAATTCAGACACTCATTTTGTCAGTGTTGATAAGTGAGGGGTTGGTGTCTTGTAAACCCTTAAAATTGTTTTTCACGTCGTCTTAATGGTATGATGCACTTTTTTTTTTCTATCAAAATAAATTCATAGTGAAATAAACACCCGGCTTGTCAAACAGTGTTGCAAGCAGGCTATAGCAGAGGCGAAGGCTGCACATCTGACCGAGGGACAATGGGGTCTTTATAGATTTTAACATAATGTTGCTAACACCTGCACTCAGGACTGATAAAGTAAAAGACTAGACTCATGAATGCAATGGGCCTTTTAAGTCATTATTTTCATATAGAATTATTGTGAGGTAATTAAACTATTGTTTTTAATATTGATGATGTACAAGTGTGGAGGCAGGTCTTGCCATAATAGCCCACCGGAGGAGGAGCAAGAGCGAATATATCAATCATAATACAAAGTTTGAGAGTACATCTATTTGTATTATTGCTTGCATTCTTATCATCAGTGTAAGTTGATAAGTTCATTAAATTTAATGAATCTGTATTCAATGGACTGCATTACAACACAGAATAATTCATTTGTATTCCCCATTAAATATTTTATATAGTTTATGTATAATGTAGCATTATATGTGTTAAAAGCTGCATTCATTTATCTTCACCACTAGTGGGCGGCCTCGAGCTGGCACTGAGGAAGCACCAGCTTCTGCCGACAGACACTTTACATTCATGTTGCATTTTTACCCTATACAGTAGCTGATGCTGTCGCCAGTGGCAACGTATGAGCACAACAGAGAAAATTCTCATGTTATTCACATATACATCCAAAATAAATCAGTGGTGCCACACTGGCCAAACACTGTGGAATCAATATTGACCAAATACTTAAGAATTACAAAACAAAATTAAATTGCACAATTCAGTTAATGTAATTTTACAGAATATTCTTCTATTTCTGCTTTCCAACTTTTCATCATGACCCTCAAATCAACCACCCACAGAGCTTTCAAAAAGATTGATTTCTTTGCACTGCAGCATATTGACAGCATGGATGTCAATGAGACATTCAAGAGGGTGTCCTGTTCTAAAAATGGCCACATGTCTAGGTTTCTAAATGTTATTGTTCCTTTTTAACTTCCTGCAAATGTCTCCTCATCTCTATTTATCTGTTGCGTATTATTTATTGTTGTATGTCCTCGTATTCCTCACTTTGTACTGAGAAACTGTCTGTGCTTGTTTTGCGAAGCCTTATTACACCAGATAGTTGAAAAAATACAGTTGAAAGCAGAATTTTCCTTCACTTAAAATGTTGTTTTAGTATATTTTAAAACTTGTCCCAAAAGACAGAACTTTACATCACTATTTTTGCACAATTATAACCATATCCTTGCGTTATCCTGTGATTATTGCAGACTGTGTGCATGTGGGCATGCATTTGTGTGTGCATGCTATAATATTCAGTGCAGCCCTACAGCAAACCCACTGCAGAGATTGTGTCGCATGATGTTATGGAGCTACAATTTCTTGGAGTGGGGGATTCTGCTTTCTCTCCCTGTCGCAGTGTCAGTCAAGGTAAATGTATTCCTCCTCCCCCCTTTTTTCTCCCCCTTTCTTTTCCTCTCGTCTCTCTCTGTCCACTGGTAGCTCCATCTCTTCTTTGTATCCATCCATCTTTTTTCGTCTTTCTTTTCTTTTTTATTCCCCTTTGTTCTTTCTCTCTCTGTTTTATTTTCCATAACCCAATCCAAAGGTTCAGGTTTATAAATAGAAGCTATACCCTTCCCCGTTGCTGTCTTTGTCTCTTATTCTCTCCATTGCTTCCTGTGTTCTCTCTCATTCCCTGCAACCTGAATCACTGCTGGAAGCTACACTGCACTGTGTTTTTCCTGCCCCCCCTTTCTTTCCCACACACCTCTTACTCTAAACTCCCTCATGCTGCACCTTTCATCTCTCTCTTTCATGTTATAATTTTAAGAACTCCGAAAGAGCCCTGCCTGCAAATAAACACAGGTCTTAAAATGCAGCTTTAGGTTGCCCTGGTCTTTCTCTTCTGCATCTCTTGAATGTACAAGAAAAACCAGTAAGCTTGGCGTCCAAATAGTTTTCTCACATCTCAGCATGTTGCTTCTTACGTCCTCTCCCCTCTGCAGCTCACCTCTTCTGTGTCATCTTCTGCCTTCCTTCTGTTACTCTCTGGTTTCTCAGACAGAGTATCAGTTCTCTCACCTCCTTCGGGGGATACAGTAGCCCTAGTGAGCACTGATAGTCAATGCGGATAGTGTCTCTCTCTCTATGTTACTGATAACCTCGCTGTGCCCCGGTAACCGGAGGACAAAACCACAGCTGAAATGATGCCTCCTGGATCTGATCATGTGGCATTTCTCAATG